GATAAAAATCTAAAAATATTCCACTTTTTCAAAAAAAAATCCAAATATAAATAAAACTGTTGATTATTAATATAAATTCAAAATTATACTCATTCATCACAAACACATTTTCAATACTTTTACATTAATTAAACAGAATTGAACGGATTTTGTAAGAAATAAAGTTCGAATTTCCTGTTTGTGAATAAAGATAAAGTTGTGTAAGTATGTAATATAATTTAAAAAGTATTAAAACTTAAACGGTTAATGTGTACCTAAGTAGTCCAAGATGGCGGCGGTCGCCAGTTCGATCGGTGCTTCCGGTCGCTATTTTGAGCCGACGCCAATTAGCGGTATTACTCGAGAGTTACGAAAAAATAGTAATTTAAAAAATTACTTACTTTGTTATCGTTTGCTGGGTTTTTCTTTTGTGACCAACGGTCATGCTGTTCTCGGCTTTTTTATTTTTCTTTCGTTTCGTTTCTTCCTTTTTCTTTCGGGTTTCTGGGGCAGCAGGCACGGTCGCTGCTTCCTTCCACGCAGGGATCTTACCCGATTCTGGATATATAAAACTTAAATGTTTCGCAAACAATTGGAAGCGTTCTCCGGGCTTCATTGTATGCCATTTACACAATTTCTTGTACATGAACATGTACTGATAGGAATCCGACAACTCTTCGGTATAATGTTTGGGCAGATGTTGTTTCTTGTCTTTTCACGCACCCCGCAACCTTTCTATCTTCTGAGTGTGTACGCCAATGTTAGGGTTTACGAAATTTTCGAAACGGTTCACCGTCTGGCGAACTATTTCTACACCTTCTACTTCGTTTATATGATAGTAACCCCTCCGCTCTTCCTTAAAAGTACCGACGAAGGCGGAACTATTTCTTTTACAATAGGCGCATCTCATCGCTACGGATTTCCTGTCGGCACGGTACACTAATTTACATGGACAAGAGCAATTAGTACATACATATTCGACGCGCCGTAAACCAAGTTTTACAGCCAGTAGTTTCGCATCCGACGGTCTCATCCAGCCATAAATTGTCATATTCGTTTGCGAATAACACGAAGAACATTTGCGAATCGCACTTACTCCAAAATTCCTCGGGAAAGGCATCTTCAGAAGTCGTAGCCATTAACATTTCTGGCAATATTCAAAACGTCGTACGAGAAAAAAAATCGCAAAGGCACAACAACCACACGTCTGGCGAACGCTGCGACAGCGAGACAAATTAAAAATTTGCATATCTCTACCTTCGAGAGCGGCAACGTCGTCATAATTCATTTCGGACCGCGAAAAACGCCCTGTACAGTCGTCATCGTAACAACTTCCGGAAGCGCCGCCATCTTGGACTACCTAGGTACACATTAACACTTAAACTGCATTTATAAATTAATAATTTTTTTAAAATAATGATAATAATATGTTAATGTTCCCAAACTTTTCTAATATAAAACTCATTTATAGTCTCATCAAGTTTATTTTTATGAAAGACTAATTGGCTGTAAAATAAATTTTTTCTTTATCAATTTCATTTTAATTCTACAATTGTTTAAATCATGTTTAAATCAATTGTATGGTTGAAGCTCGTAACAAAGAAATAGAAAACAAAGTCCCTTACTTTGCTTACAGCTGCTTGGCACTTTGAATATATTCAGTAAAAACGAGTACTTCTACTTTAAATATTGCTAATATTATATTCGATTTTGTTCTTAATATTAAATTATGGTGGTTAAAATTTGAGGAGGTTGAGAGATAACGATGGTCATCTGTTTCTCCAGTATCGTCGAACTTAAATTAATAACAATTTTACTCGCATTTACAATGTTCTATAAAATTCATCCCTACCGTGTTTTCCCGAAAATAAGATAGTGTCTTATATTAAATTTTGCTCTGAAAAATGCGCTAAGCCTTATTTTCAAGGAATGTCTTATTTTTCCAGGAAGAAGAATTCACATTTATTATTGAACAAAAAAATTCTCAAGTCGAACTTAGACGAGAGTGACGTATATCCGGGGTGTTGAACTGTCGTCTTTTTATAGTGTCAACATCGGACTCGATGACCAATTAGTGCTTACTGAACCGTAGCACTATGCAAATGTAATGTGGCGTGATTCCCGGCCGACCAATTAGCCATCACCAGCCGTAACGTTATGCAAATCTGTGATTCCCAAGCCATAGTCTTATGCAAATCATGAAATGGGCGTAATTGTCTGCTGACCAATCAGTGGCTGTACTTTCAAAAAGCCAACGGCCACTTTCAACCATCTGTCCATGACTGTTACCACTAAAAAAACTTCGCTAGGTTTTACTTTCAGGGGGGAGGTCTTATATTTCGCAATTCAGCTAAATCTGTGCTAGGTCTTATTTTCTGCGGATGTCTTATTTTCGGGGAAACACGGTATCTCAAAATTAAGCTTTTTAGAATTTTATAATAATTAAAAATAAAAAATGTTTTTAATTAATAAAATATAAAAACAGATGGTGCCACCAGATGTTGCCGGAAAAGTTAAGCAATGCGTTAATGCATTTTTCTATTATGCACTTCATTCTTTTTCGCGACTAATTTGTTTCTATTTTCTTATCTTTAATAAATCCTTCTCAGTGTATGTTAAAGTTCGGGAACCATTGCTCAAAACAAACTCGTAGCTTAAACGCAGTTCTTATTTTTTACAAGGCCTCGAAGAGAAGAAAAATGATATATAGATGCAAAGAGTGCCTTATAACTTTTACAGTAAAACCGCTTTATGTTAAACACATCAAAACTCACATACCAAAACAGATCTACTAGTGTAAAACCTGAAAAAAGACTTTTCGAAATAAATCAACAATCTACACATGATAAAACACTTGGAAGAAAAACCTTACAAATGTGAACAATACGGTACTAGATTCAAATATAAATCAAATTTGATTCATCAGAAGTTGCATTCAGCTAAAAAGGAATTTAATGTGTACTTTGTTCTCTATGTTTTGACAAAAAACATTACTTAATAAAACACAAAAAACTTCACGATTCTGAGAAATCTTATTACTTTTGTGTTACCTGTAATAGATAATTTACTAAAAAAGCAAACTACAGTAGAGCGTCGATTTTCCGAATCAATTGGAAATTGGGGTTGTTCGTATAACTGATATTTCGGATAACCGATTTATGTACGAAAAAATAGTTTAACGTATCCGGTGTTGAAATTTTTTTCCGTTGCGTGTCGCTTCGCGTTGAATTTTCGTCGATGTTAAGCCTAACAAAGACTATTGTATTGTTAATAATTATTTTTTTATTTTGTACAAACAAAATAAATATATTGAAAAATATAAAAACAATAAAAAATTATACGTCAGATGTTAATTTAGTATCAAAAACGTTAAATATTCGAGTAGCCCAAGACATAGCCAAAGATTGAAGCGCCACAGCACTGGCGAAAAAATTTAAATTTGCCGACTGAAATTCTTCTGGATGATTGACGTTTCGGATGATTGACTTTCGGAAAATCGACGCTCTACTGTATATACTCCATAATAAATTTCATTTGTGAGAAGCAAACACCTTAAATGAAACTCAAGAAGAAAAGAAGATGCAAGAAGGCCATTCTTCAACTGTAAGTTCGAAAAAAAAGAAATACATGCAGTCCCATGTCATTTCATATCTGGAAGTGCGTTCAGCTTCCGTAATTACTGCCTTCCATCGACAGGTACAACTCCTGATGAAGTAAATACTTGAAGTAAAAGTAAACGGCATAGAAAATTTGATTTAAAAAAAACAATAGTCTGAAATAGAACTCTAGAACAGGGCTTAAACTTTTTTATTCAGGACCTCATTTATGATTGTGATTTGGTTCGCGACCCCCCAAAGAATATAAAATAAAGATATATACAAATTTGCAAAAACATTAATAAAATAAAAACTTTACGCTAAACTTTTTATCATGTTTTGTAGTTAAACATGAGCTTTTAGACAATAACGTCCCGTAGCAAAGTGTGAAGTAATTGTCATGAAGTAATAGTTATATCAAATAGCGCGGGAAATAATGTTTTTCGTAAGGTATATTTAAGGGTTACTGGCCCACTGATTCAAGCTTTACAGACGTGGAGAAAATCCTGAAAACACCACGTGGCCAGTCCATCCTGGCGAGGCTCGAAACCTAGTCAGAACTCCTAGTGTTCGAAGAACGGAACCGCTTGGATACTGGTGAACCAGTGGTAGACCCCTTAAAGTAATAGAATGGCTCAGAGAAAATAAATTTCTGTTAGTTTTATGCTAACGTACATAACATACTTTTAGTTCTTCCCAAACAAGTCTTGTTTCCTTAACTCTATATAAAACTTGGATTAATAAAAACATTCGTGAATGCACTGGGTTAGGATTAAGAAGTAGCTAATTTCAAATTTCTTAAACAGATCGTTTTCAAAACTAAGCTTAAAGAAGAAACATTCGTTTTATCTTAAATTAGAAAATTACTTCAGATTGCAAACTTTTCTAAAAAAATTAAATGACGTTGAACTAAGTGCAACGTCATTGATGTCTGTTGTCAAATAGTGGCGATCAATGGAAAATTGTCCAGTTAATAGTTTATTTTTAATGTCAGGCCGAACTTCATTACATATGAAAGTGTTAAAAAATTGCACTGAATTCAGATTTAAAAGGAGCTTATTCCAAATTTTTTAAACATAATTTTTTGATAACTAAGCATAAAGAAAAAAACATTCGTTGCAGCTTAGATCAGAAAATTACTGTAAAATGCAAAGTTTTCTCAAAAACTGAATGACGTTGAACTAAGTGCAGAACTAAGTGCAACATCGTTAATTTTAACGTAAATCTTTTTTTGTAATTAAAGAAGTTTTTAATTAATTAATATGTAATATAAAAATATTTTATTTAATAAAGGATTTTTAAATAATTTTAACAACAGAAAAGATTTCGTTATACTTTCGTGTTGACTTCAGCTTAGTATTGGTAAGATAAGTAATTATGTAAATTAATAAAATAATAATTATTTCTTAAACACCTTGAGTCATTATTAACTCTTTTATAAAACCGAAATATAAATAAAACTGTATTTTATTTACGAAAAATTAAGATTTTACTCATTTTATGCTTATTTAAACAGTAGATGAGGTAACACTTGTGCAGAAGGAACTTTCAGCTAGGTACGTTGTAAATTAAGAAAGAGTCAGGTATGTCTAACAGTTACTTTAATTTATATTTTAGAATTAAATTAATACTAAACATTAAGTAAATAACTCCCAGACATTTCTTTTTCTTTTCCAATTAGTTTGACTCGAAGTTTTAAACTTTTCTTTTTAATTAATATCTATCTAATGATAGGGTTTTAAGTAGAACAGATTAGGCAATGTGTAAATAAAATAACGGTGTAATACTTGTACATATTTATTATTAAATAGAATCGTAAGCAAACAATTTAGCATAGCTGTTTTGCTTGCTGCTATTCTCCACTTTGAACGAATGCAGTTAAACTAAGTGCTTTTAGTTCAAATATTAAAACTAATTTTAAATTTGAATCATAATATCAGTGATTATTGACGATGTAAACGTTTAAACTTAACGTCTAAGCATGAGTTTTATGTAGTTTATTTTACTTTCTGACTCCACCTAAGAATAAAAAAATTGTTTTTTGAAAAAACGAATATTCTGAAGAGAGTGGTTTTACTTTTTATACTAAGTTAGTTTATAAAGTATCCATTTTATGTCAATATTTAATTTTTTATGTTAGTTAAGCGTTAAGTTAAGATTTATATTACTTAATAGAGGAAAATGAATATAAGTTATTAAAAAACTTTAAAATAGGTTTTTGTTAGCCTGTTTTTTACCTAATTTATAAAAATGAAAACTAAAAATATGAGACGGTATATCTTTTGGCTTATAAAGTTCATTATTTTGGTAATATTATTCTTTATTTTTTCCTACGAAATTAATTTTATGCAATATGCACTTATTTTTCTTTTGAACCTCCATAATTTTAAATGACTAATTTGTTTTAATTTTTGCTGTTTCATTGGTCAGTGTTATTACTTTTTAAATCGTTTTTCAAAATTTTTACATTTAATTTCAGTGTAGTTTATTTCACTTATTTACAGATCCTTAAAGAAAAAAACATGGTATATAGATGCATTATGTGTGATTTGATTTTTCATCATAGACCTTTATACATTTCTCTTCAGTTAAATTATTCAACAGAAAAACATCAATGCCAAGTCTGCCGACAGGGATTTATCACTGAAAAAGCTTTACTACAACACATGAATGACATCCACCCAGATGCGGTTTCTTACGTTTGTGAACAATGCTTTAAGGGTTTGGAAACTAGAAGAAACTTGCTTCATCTGAAAATGCATTCAACGAAATTGTATAAATGTACAATTTGTCCTGCAGATTTTACAACTGAAGAAAAACTATTGCAGCACATTAGGATTCACGAATATTTAGCATCCTCCAATCAATTCTTGCAGGAACTATCGATGCAAGCTGCTCCTTCGACTCGGAACGTGCAGGAACCATGGATAAAAGAGGAACCTTTAACTCGAAACGTGCAGGAACCATGGATGGAAGCGGGCCCTTCAACTCGAAACGTGCAGGAATTATGGATGGAAGCGGGTCCTTCAACTGGAAACGTGCAACGACAATCGATAAAAGAGGAACGTTCAACTCGAAACGTGCAAGAACCATCGATAAAATAGGAACTTTTAACTCCAAACGTACAGGAACCATCGATAAAAAAGGAACTTTCAACAAGAAACCTGCAGGAACCATCGATGCAAGCAGGACGTCCATCAAGCATTTGTTGTTGTATATCCTTCATTGTTGCGCCGATATGTAAATCGCTCCGAATAGAAGAAAAAAGTCTAGATAAATGTCTATATAATAGGTACTTCTGCTTTAGTTGTTAAATGTAACAAGTATTATTTTAAAATTTTAATGTAGTTCGGAAATTTCTTCCTGTAATTTTAATGAATTTTACTGTTAGATGTTGCTGATAAATTTCTGTAAAATGCTGTTATACCTGAAATAAATATGTTTATAAATTTTTTAAAATATATTTTACAGATTTTCTGTTGATCAAATCAATATACATAAAAACTGCTATTCGGTTGCAAACATCTACTATACAAAGTACTCTGTATAGTACTATTTTACAATTGTTTTATTTATTTTTAATTATTTCTTATAAATTTTTTATGCTTTCGTTTGTCAGTGTCCCGTAATTTCTAGCAGATCCCTGCATCAGTAGACCCCCCTACCTCTCCTGTAAGTTGCATTTCATTGTAATGAAAAAAGAATACACTGCAGTTTGTTTTGGAATATTTTTTGACACATATTTTAAAATGTTAGAAAATGTACAGAAATCAAATATACTAATTGATGTGTTAAATGCAAATGAAGCAGACACCAATCTATGAACAGACCCTACTTTAAATCTTACGACCTGACATAAGCACATCTTGTTTTCAACTCAACATTCAACACTAATATCTAAAACATGTTACCTGAAAAATGAAGAAAATCACTGACCACATAATTTAAAGGCTTTGATAGTAACATGTTGTTTAGATTTCAGCTTCTTGTCCTGGTTTTATTGTGGATTCGCAACTTAGCTAATTTTACATTTATGTTGTATGATATTTTTTCAGGAAATACAGAAAACAGTAAGACACGGTTTCAAATTTGTGAATAATTTTATATCTGTTACAATATCACATAAATTTCTATAATATAACTGGTATTAACCGCAAATAGAAACAAATGTATAGATTTTTTAATCTTTTTATCTCAGCTTTCATATCGAGCTGTACTAAAGCGCTTTCTCCTGTTAATGCTCCTACTGAGGATTGTATGTATTATTAAAAACTAAACCCGTCTTTGACATTAATACTGCAGTACTTATTCGATAAATATGTCGAATAAGCATTCTTCGGCTCTTGGCATAGTAGTGACGCCATATGAGATATAAATATGAATTAGCTTCAAAAGATAAGATAATTCGATTTTTTTACCGAAAAACATTACAATATTTTGTTTTCACTCGGTGCTGCTCTTTAAAAAGTAGCATAAAACTGCAATTCTTTGCACTTTTAAACTAATGTAAGCGCGTAAATGCATAACAAACTGAGTAATATTTATATTATTGCTTAACAATAACGGGAACTCGTAGTGCAAATGTCATTTTCCATATGCCCTGTCCATTACGAAACATCAAAAGATATCTAAGATGTACGTGCAATTTCGACCAACCTTTTAAAATTTTATTAAGTTCACTAAGATACATAGACTTAGTTTCAGAAAGTTCACAACAGAAAATACATAAATTTAAAAAATAGTAAAACGTAGCAATGGGTGCGTTTCGTGTTCATTCCAAAACAAGTAGACATTATGGTGAATAATGAAATGTACCTTAATTCACTTGTTAATTACGGTTGTTAGAGTATTGCGGCATTCTCCCAGACACATTCCAAGTGGTGCTTAGAACTTTCCATGTATATGAAGACCCTGTCCTATGTGGACTCCCATGTTCTTCTGTACCACTTCTGTGTATAGTGTATATAAAATTATTTCAACCAAGCAGTTTCTTTTCCTACCTCGCTACCACACTCTGCACCAGCTACAACAATTAAGTATGTGGTGAACTTTTCATGTAACAGGAGTAGAAGTGATTTCGTTAGCACTAAGCACAAAATTAATTTCAGATGTCGATTAAATTATAATTACAAATAACTTTTTTTAAAATTGCAAATAAAAATTTGTTAAATGGAATTATTCAAAACACAAAATTAATTTTCCGAACACAAATCTTAATTTTATTTTAACAATAAGGCTGTATTAATTATTAAATTTAAATTAAATTAATTTTATTTTAACAATAAGTTTAATTATTAGAATGTTTTTATACCTTTGAATTAATACAGTATATTCTTTCTAATTATTATAAAATTAATTTGCAATAATTTCAGATGAAAATTTTCTCGAATAAATTAAGATAATAAATTTTTATAAAACTTTTCAATTCATTTTAGTTTTCATAAAATATCTTGTAACAATAAAGTAAAGTTTCTGTTTTTATAAATTTGAATTAAATTAATTTTATTTTAACAATAAGTTTAATTATCAAATGGTTTTAAAAATTAATTATTTTTTATAAGTGAGTAGGTGTCAGATTTTTTTCTAATTCACTTTATGAACTAATTTTTGTTTTGATTATAACAATGTTCTATCTGAATTATTTTATAGATCTGAGAAAAATAAAGCATGACAATTGTATGAAATAATATAACACCGAAATGAAATTATTTTTACATTAATATCAGATGTCAATTAAGTAAAGATTACAAATAATTTATTGTGTTTAATTTTCAAATTAATTTTTCAGGTTATAAATTATTTTCAGATCAAAAATTTCTCGTGTAAATTAAGATTATAAATAATTTTAATAGTAAGAAAACTTTTCAATTTATTACTTTGAAAAAACTTTTTATATTTAAAAAACTTTTCAGTTCAATTCATTGCTTCATGTAAAATTAATATGCGATAATAACTTTTACAATTTGTACTAATATCCAATGTGGTTGAGAATTATTAACATATATTTGTAATTTTTTTCTAACATGCGAATAAATTAAAACATGACAATTTGAAATAATATTTTAACAATACGGCAAAGTTTAATATATTGTTTAATAGTACGTTTAATAGTTTAATAGTATGAAATAATATAACACCAAAACAAAATTATTTTTGAAATTTTTTAAATTTTATATTAATAGATTAAATCAGTTTTATTTAAGCTTTTCCAGTTTTTACGTTTTAAAAACAGTGAGCAACAAAATTGGTATGGTATTGGCATTGAATACTGCACCTCTGTTAAATTTAAGTCACTAGAATCATTGATCATTCACAGACTTAACCATGTAATAAGTTGTATCAAGATGAGTCGTAAGTATATTTTCTTTTATATCTACAGTTGATTAACATATTTTTTTTTAAATGCATAATATTAAAACATAAAATTATATTGTCTTCTCTAACTGTGTATAAAANTTATTAAATGTTTTTATAAATTTAAATTAAATTAATTTTATTTTAACAATAAGTTTAATTATCAAATGATTTTAAAAATTAATTATATTGTTTAATTTACTTTATGAACTAATTTTATTTTGATTATGAATTAGTTTATAGAAGAAATACGATTGGTTGGTTTTTGATTTAAATATAGTTTTAAGAAACATTATAATTTATTTTTAATACCAAGATTGAAAGTTGCAATCATGGAGACATATGGTATTATTATTACTTACGACGGCGATAAAAATTATTTTGTTTTTCCTCGTTTGTACAAGTCTTTGAATACATGTATTGCTGCAGTAAATAATTTTTCTTTAGATATTCCTGATAATTTCCTTATTGTTTTACGTTATTTTAAAGTTAACGTTGAAATATGAAAAGGAAATGGAAAATTTGGTTTTATAATTGTCGACGAGGATGGAAAAATTAATGAAATTAGTAATAAATTATATTATTCGTTTGAGGAATGTTCAGAAGTTATGAATGAAATTTACATANAAATGGAAAATTTGGTTTTATAATTGTCGACGAGGATGGAAAAATTAATGAAATTAGTAATAAATTATATTATTCGTTTGAGGAATGTTCAGAAGTTATGAATGAAATTTACATAAAAAAGAACAAAAAGAATATATTAATATTTAGAGAGATAATTTGTGAAACAAAGCATTATAAATTTACTAAAGCTTATAAGTTCGATTAATACGAATACGTATTTCAAACATTCTAGTAACTGTATAATTTTTAGACCTTCACAATGTGGAAAGACTACACTAGTGAAAAAAATTATTTATAACAAAATTTATGAAAAAACAATAACAAAGGTTCTATGGTGTTATTCCATATATTTACCATTTTTTCATGAGGAAAGAGATATTACATTTATGTATGGTTTACCTGAATCCGTGCAAGGATGGGATTTAATAATAATTGATGATTTGATGCATGAACTTAGTTTAAAAACTGCATCTTTGTTTACAACAGAGTCTCATCATTATAATGTAAGCGTGATAATGATAATGCAATATTTTTGTTTCCAAAAAATAGAATTATGAGAGATGTAACTTTATACACGCATTATTTGATATTATTTAAAAATAATCGCGATGAAAGTCAAGTAAGTTGTTTGGGGCAGCAAGCTTTTGCTGGTAAATGCGATTTTTTTATGGTTGCATATAAAAAAGCAACAGAGAAGGAATTTGGTTATTTGTTGTTAAATTTTCATCCTAAAACAATAAGAAATTTACTGTGACAGATTCGTGTTTTCCCGACAAACAAATTATTTTTTGGATATAGTTACCAATAAAATGAAGATCGTAAAGAAAAATTATCATATGTTAGCACTTTTGTCTAAGACTACTACTTCTCAACGAAAAGCAATATTGAAAGAAGCTACTCCCGATCAAATTAAAGTTTTGTGTGAAATATGTGATAATTTGCGGAGAGGAAATATATCTGCTGATGTTCGTAAATTACAAAAATATAAAAAAATTTCAGGAAATTATGTGAAAAAAATGTTCCTTTAAATACTAAGAAAAAAATTTTAGTTAATCAATCAGGTGGATTCCTTCCTCTTCTACTGACTCCGTTTTTGTCTATGGCAGGTGGACTAATTGGTAAGGCAATAAAAAAAAGAATGTAGTGGCGAAGCAAATGGCTCTTGTCCCTCCTGAATTGTTGTCAGCATATCAAAAACCTGTAATAAGAATTGGTAATAATATTAAATAATTACTCGAGATTGGTGATTTATCTGATAATAGTAAAGTCAAATTATGAAGTCAATTG